CACCACCACCATCTACGTTATCCCTTCTACCACTTCCACCACCACCACCACCACCACCACAACAACAACAACAACAACAACAACAACAAATAAACAAAAAGTCAATTAACAAATCTCATTACCTTAAATATGTTTCGTTTGAGACTCAATGTTGTCCATAAATGTTCATTATATACATTTAATTCTACAAAACGTTTTTTCGAACATTATTCGTGCATCCTCAATGCAATGTTATGGCAAGTGAGGGCCAGGTGGACGAACAAATGAAAGTACGACTTTTTTTTCAACTGATCTTACTTTGAAAACATCTTACTTTGTCGCACCATCTTTGTATCTTCTACTATGAAAGTGAGTTTATCGACCTAGAAGGGTATTTTTATCTCGATATTGTTTTTCTCCTGGAAAGTAATTAGTATTTAAGGAATGAAATATTGCAGACAGTTTTCTGAAGATAAAAATAACTGCAGTTTTATTCTTCTAGTGGATTGTAGGTAATATTTTAACTAAGCACTAAAATGCCATTAATTTCCGAATATAACTTGAAATTAATCACGATTTCAATGTAGATTTGTTTCTGTGCGCAACAATAGGCATCAAACGAATTCAAGCTCTAAATAAATTCGGGGCTATCCGGGAGACGCCGCGTCGGTGGCTGAGAGGCCGACGTTTCGCCTGACATGTCGCAGGCTTCCTCAGCTCTCATTCACTCCCAACATCATACGTTGACTGTTGTATTCAATGGGAATATTTGATTTAAACTCATCATATAAGATCATCTTACACTCGACTTACACTCTCAGAGAAAATTGAAAGGAACTAAATTCACAAACGTAATCTCACATGAATTCCAAAAGAGAAGACGTTTCGTCACAGTATGAAGGTGCGTAATTTTTATACGATCTTGTGCGATCATTTACGTTTATGTGAACTCATAAAATAACGTTCACTATTTTTCCTGCGGAAATAAAGCGTTTCATGTAACAGAAATTCATGCCAGAACAAAAGTGTTAGATAGAATATTTTTTAGAAAAAGGACTAATTAAATTGTATTACCCGGTTATGGTATGTTTTTATTAAACATTCTGTGTGTAAATTCTGTAATAAATTGCGTATTAAACTCGCTATCATCCTTTACTTCATTGAATCGCATGCGAAATTTTCTCATTTCAAAATCAGATACGACGGTTTTAGAAGGCGTGCAACAAAAGCAAAAATATTTTCTGCTCGTAATGTTTTTGTCTGCATTTTACAAAGGCCAAAGAGTTGAAATCTGCGTAACTAAATTAATACAAGTGGTAATTATAATCGATAATTAGGGAAATGTTTAAATTTAATCTTTTTGGTTTTTGAAGTTTCATACTTCGTCCGTGCAAATATTTTTAACATAAAATCCTACTGTAAGTGTGTGTGTGTGTGTGTGTGTTTCGCAATGGGAACCTAAAGTTTTTCATTTACTGCTTCAATATCTGAAAATAATTAAAATTATAGCATCGTCAGGAAACAAAACATTGCTTCCCATCTGACCTTTAAAACCCCTCCATTATATTTCACGTTGTGAGATGAACATCGTGGATACCAATTCTGTATTTGTTATGTGTTATGGTATTCTTAAAACGTTCACCCATAAAACACGGGACATTGTGGCCGCAATTGCATATAGATTATTCTTGACCGCTGCTCTGTGGTGGACAAATTCCAAGATTTGACTTATAAGGCTACACTCCTCCAGCTAATAGCACTTGCGTTTGATCCGCTCCCGTCAAAGCTCGGCCGTCCGCGACAGTAATTGGACGCAACGCATCTGGAAGAAGGCAGACAAATATCTCTCCGAACCGTCGCACACGCCGCGCCCGTCGATATGTCAAGCAGAAGTCGACGGCGCCGCGCTGGACAATGGCAACGCGGAGGCGCAACCGCAGCGCAATGCCTCGAGGGGACAGGCGTGTCTGGGGGCTGTGGCGCTCGCCCGCGCCGAGCCATGCCACGCGTTGCGGCGCGCGCGCCGACCGCCGCGCCATACGTCCATGCGCGGGGGCGGGGCGCGGGGGCCGGGGTGCTCGCGCGGTCCGAAAAGGCGGGCTCCCTTTGAAAGGGGAGCCGCCCGCCGCCGCCGCCCGCCGGCCTCGCCCTAATCCGCAAAGCCCCCCCCCGAGCTCCCGCCGGCCCGCCCCGCCGCGAGGGCCAACTCGAGGGCGAGCGGAGGGGGCGGTGGAGAACACGGACAGTACGGAAGTTGATCCGCGCGCCAGGCGGCGGATCCCGCAGGCGCCGGGGGGAGGGGGGCGTCACCCTGGCACCACCGTCGTGCCGTTCCCCGACGCGACGCCCCGTGTTTGCACGGGCGGACGTGTAACGAAACGGGGCGCCCGCGGATTGTTCGATAAATAACGGGGACCGCTGCTTGCGGACGACCCCACGATGGACGGGGCGGGGCGGAGCGGGGCGGAGGAAAGACCCGGGAAACGAGGGGGAGCTTGGGAACAGACGTCCACGACGCGGGTCGTCTGTCACAATCAAATGTCCTGCGATCAGTTGACCCCAAACTCGTAATTTACTTGTTAGAAATGAAGTTGCGATGTCTTTACTGGGAGACCGAAAAAATTGTCAGATTCGCACACATCGTACTGTGTGAGATTATAGATATTACATACCTAGAAATATTATGAGTGTTGTTACTGCAGAGGCCAGAAGTTAAAAATCGAGGCGGAGCGCAGTGGAGCCGAGAATTTTCATTTGGACGAGGCAGTAACTGTAACATGTTACATTTTGTGGTATGTACAACATTTATCGGTCACCATAAAGTCTGACCATTTATGCGAAAATTTACGACATTACCTGCGATAGTAAACAAATGAATTCTCTTGCAGCGGTACGTTACTATGATATTGGTGGGGTTTGAATGCGATATATCTAGTTAAACTATATATTCATATTCCGTGATTTGAAAAAAGATGGATGCAAATAATTCTTCTAAACCTTATGTTACTTAAAGAAATGACGTTCATTGAGGAAGTTGGCGTGTCGACTTCCAATGGCGACACCTTCAGATCTTCGGTAAATATGATTATCGGAGAAGATTCTCATTTAGTGGAATACCAGGAAAATGAGGTTAATTTACCTAATTCACATTTTTAATCGCACAATTAATATTACAGTTAACACCAATTATTTCCAAAACTAACTTGAGTTACTTTTATTGTGAATTGTTTGATTCTGATTTGTATAAAACATCGCCAGTTTTTTCAATAAATACGTGACTTGCGATTATTCGAAGGTTGTTTATTTACATTGCTAAAGCTGTTAACATGTTGCGAAGGATGTTAAATTTCGTAACATACAGATAGCTACTTAAGAAAAGGTTGCACTTCACACATATGTAGGGTTGTATGCTAGCAGATATTAAAGACGCACGTGACCGATAAAAGAAGTTAACTGCAGGCGTAAGGGTCATCCATAAATTATGTAACGCCACAGAGAGGGGGGAGAGTTTTGAGACAGCAAACGCTGTGTTACATAGGGACAGGGAATATTCGATAAGTGTTACGTAACATTGACATTTTTGTTACATTTTTTAACATTTGTTGAAATACTTCCTTTTTTAGTCTTGTACTAAAGCATTAAAACCTTATCTAATTAATTTGTTTTAAAACAAATAATTGAAAGTTATTAGAAAAAGTTGCAATCAATGGAAAAATTTTTATCAATTATGTATTGAATATGTAAGATTACAAACAAAAAATTCAAAACGTATTTATGGTAGTTTGTAGAATACACTTAAATCGGAGCAGTACTGAATTGAATTGATGCCTTATTTTACGTGGCGTGACTCGGGCAATCAGGTCTGCTCTTCCGTCTGACCACGCAAATTTCCCTTCGTTCCTTTCTCTGGAAAAGAGGTATCACTCGGGCGGCGAAACAGAAGATTTGAATATATCTCTTCATTTAGGCTTGAGAATCTTTTACATGCAGTAAATCTACTAACATGGGACAGCCAGCTTTACTTCCCTTCCGAAGGATTTTTTCGCCCTGAAAATTCCATGGCTTCGATCGGGTTTAAACGCGCGAACTTCGGTACAACAGTCCGATGCGCTAACCGAAACACCATTGCCGCCGCAGTTGTCCATGCGCCATCCACAACGGCAGCGCGGCGTGTGCACGGCTGGTGATACGAAATTTTCGCCTGCATCCTTCCTTCACTCAAAATTTCCCCCCAATCTTCTTGTTAGGTGCAGTCAGACTCGACATTTTCACTACAATTATCATCAATTTTAATACAAAACACAAATAAAATGATTTTTTCTGAGCAATAATTTATTTTCACTTCGTGCTTGTACAAAGGGAGGAGTGTTATCGCAATCGTTACGTTATTATTTAAGGGGGGGGGTCAATCGCGCGTTGAGGGTGCGTTACAGGGGGAGAGGATATATTCAAACTACTTCAAATTTGCGTTACGTAATTTATGGGTGGCCCATAACATCTTTGAAATAATTTGGCCAGGTTCTTTTAACTTTGAATGGTAAGAAGGATCACTGATGCGTGAAGTATTGCCTTCCTAGTAGTGTTTGAATTTTAAACACAAGTGAAAATCGGATTTTGGTGTACATAAA